AGCCAGCCGCACCAACAGGCTGAAGAACAGTTTCTACCCGTGGCTGTCAAGACTCCTGGATGGAAAATAACTTCATGTCAACATAGTAAGACAGACTTGCCCAGGGCGTTGTGCAATAAATTCACATGATGCAATAAGACTGTGTTTTTGTTAGGAAGATTCACTGGGTTAGGGACTTTCTGTCTTCGCTGTGAGTTGTGTTGGGTGTGTGTGTGTGTGTGTGTGCACGAAGGGAGGCTCAGCCAATCTCATTGTACACGTTGTACTCTTGACAATAAAGGTCGATCGATTGATTAACCCAGGGCTGTCCAACCTTGGCGACTTTTACTATTATTACCTTTACTGTCAGAGTTAAGGGTGGTGAACTGCGGCTCCCAGAATTCCCCAGGGTCTGTAGATATTTCCACAGCCCTCTTTTTGACTCTCACAGCCCTCCTGGGAAGGAGACGGTGACTTCTAAACTTGGGGAGAGCAACACAAAAAAACCCCGCAGGACTCCGTTGCCCAAACTTCTGTGCCCAACCAGAGCAACGTTACCTTGCAGAGGCTGCTGTCGGTGGCCCCTTCGCAGGACAAGAGAGTCTCGGGCCTCGGTACCAAGAGCTCCGGCAGCTGAAGGTACATTTGTAGCAGGAGATCTTGGCAGCGTCTTCCCATGGAGCTGAAACGAGAGGGGAGGGTTGGAGGGGAGCGCTTCCGGCAAATCAGCACGGAGCTTGCAGATTTTAGCAGCGCTGCCGCTCCCGTCCAAGGTCGAGTTGGGCTGCTGGGCTTTGCAAAAGACGGGACATTTATTCCCTTGGAGGCCAAAGAAGGGATTCCAAGCACATCTGGACGGAGGACCGCAGAAGGATCAGACAGCAGTTTTGGGATTAATCAGCTGCAGCCCAGAATAGGCCGCCTCGGAGAGGATTTCACAGAGACATAGAGATAGGTAGAGAGTCACTAAGTCCAGATAACATTCAGAAGACTCAGGTAGATATGAGGAGGAGGAGGAAGGGGAGAAGAAGGGGAGGAGGGAGAGGAGAAGGAAGAAGAGGAGGAGAAGGGGGGAGGAGAAGAGGGAGAGGGGGAAGAAAAAGGGGAGGAGGAGGAGAGGAGGAAGAGGAGAGGGGGAGGAGGAGGAAGGGGAGGAGAAGAGAGAGAGGAGGAAGAGGAGAGGGGAAGGGGGAGGAAGAGGAGAAGGGGAGGACGAGGAGAGGGCAGGGGGAGGGGGAGGAGGAAGGGGGGGAGGAGGAGGGAGAGGAGAAGGAAGAAGAGGAGAAGGAGAAGGGGAGGAGGAGAAGAGGGAGAGGGGGAAGAAAAAGGGGAGGAGGAAGAGGAGAGGGGGAGGAGGAGGAAGGGGAGGATAAGAGGGAGAGGAGGAAGAGGAGGGAAAGAGGGAGGAAGAGGAGGAGAAGGGGAGGAAGAGGAGGGCAGGGGGAGGGGGAGGAGGAAGGGGAGGAGGAGGGGAGGAGGAGAAGAGGGAGAGGGGGAAGAAAAAGGGGAGAAGGAGGAGGAAAGGAGGAAGAGGAGAGGG